ATCCTCTAGTACACTTTCTCTTTTTCGTCTACATCTGATATTTATCGGTAAGAAGTCTCCCCCAATGCATGACACTTGATATTTATTCGTAGACTTCTTACCTTCTCCCCAATGCATTTCTTAGGATGTAATGCTATGCCTCATTCAAAATAACACAAGCCACGCACGAAACAAGCAACGACATAAGGACTGGTGGGTGTTCTTTACATTTCAAGTCTTTAAGGGATGCTTACTGCCATCAAGTAACACTATCCTCACCAATTTTAGGCCAGCCATGGGGTCGTTCCTAATTTTCCTTGATCTTTGCAAATAAACCAAAGGACAAATACAGTACTCTCTTCATATCCTCTACCTTTTGGGCTAGTTCCTTGGCGGTGGTGTCTCAAGGTAGCAGAAGACCCTGATTAAACCAACGAAACAAAGGGAACGGAAAAGGAGGCAACAAACGCTTTGCTTTCATTATATTTAACTAGCTCTTTTGCCTTGTCTGTTGGTGGTAGAACACAAGAAACAAAGCGTGCCTCCGTTACCTTTGTTCTTTTGTGCTTTCTTGCTCTCCTCTTCCTCTGTCTCTAGGAGTTAATTGTTGAGTCGTGAAAGTAACATCCATGATGGGAGAATGAAGCGAAATGAAAGGGAACAGAACAAATGTAGAACTGCGCCGTCCGTCGTGCCGCATCTTGTTGCTGACGGCAGCTGTCACGCTCTGATTTTGGCCGGGTGCATAAAGCTCTGTTTTGATATCTCTTCTACGAGTAGGTTGTGTTGTTTGCTGCACAGCAGGCCGCGGTTTGGCCTTGCAGGTATCTGACATGGACTTGTGCAGACATGAGTTGCGGTCAGCACAACCAGATGAACATGCCCAGCAAACTTTACCCCGGATCAGGTTTGGTGTGACAAACGTGAAAAAAGTCTGAGCCGGCCGACCAAGCGAAGCTCGGACAGAAGTTCCTCACTTTGTGCCGAGAGTGTCCATCCACCTGAGCGACGACACTGAAAGAGACGGGCAACCAGTGGTCGAGGCCTGGCCTGGCGAGTCGGTGCGGAGAACACCTCCACTTTCTGCAACCTAAGGGCCGGGATCAGCGCCCCGGCCGTCACGAGCCGCGTGCTCTTAGATGCTCTTAGCGCGAGCTTAGCAGCCAGGAGCTGGCCCGCAGCCAGCTCTGCACCTGGCGCTGCCACGAACGTGCCCAGTCGGCCGCATGCCACCTCACGGAGGCCCTGAGGCCGCACCGCGCTGCCAAAGTATGCAATATCCTGCTTGGGCGCTTGGGCGCTTGCCCATGCAAGGCCTAGAGCAGCACTTGGGAAAACCTCGCAGCGGAACACAGCGCAGCGCAGAAGACCGGGATTTGCCTTCTGACGTGGCCCGGGCCCGAACACCAGCAGAACGAGGCGGCCCCGCGTAGTACAAACCGCGGAGGCTTTGCAGCGACCGCCTCAGCTGCGGACGCGTTGCTCCACTATGGGCGGCTTGTTGCCGGGAGGCCTCGGATCGCCCGAGGCCTCTGTTCCTGGCAAAATACAACGTAGTGCAAACAACGCAAACCACAAAACCTCGCTACGACAGGACAGAAATAGCATGCAATGATGACAGATGAGCGCCTATGATGACATCGCGCAGGTGACCCGAACGATGACGGCCTGCACACAGACTGCCGAAAGCTCGACTCAGGCCCAACACCAGCGTACTTTCGCCGGAGAGCCCAACAACCACCGTCGCGTATGCTTGTGATGAGCTTCGACACGTCGCGGCAGGATATGGTCTGTTCGTAGCAGGGTGTCGGGATCTACCCTTGCTTCACGAAGACCTCACGCAAACGGAAGCCTTGATGGGTGAAGTGGACCAATGGGCCGTGGAGAGCCAGTTTTCAGATCTGGATGTGTAGTTGAGGGATGGCTTGAAGTTTCTGGCGCAGGCCGAGACATTTTCACTTGCGCTTTGGCCGCAGAGTCTAGTCCTTTCTGGCGTGGGGGTAAAACCTGTTTCTCAATTGTTGGCGTGCCTTGTCCCACGAAGTGCCGGACTTCGGCGCTGAGCAGGCGGGTGTTCGAGGTCTCCAGCTCATGAATTCTGAGAGAGCTTCCGTTGAAGATGCTTTTTCGCTTCAGCGCATGATACTAGTTCTGAAAAGTAGATGCCGAGAAGTCTATGCCGTTCCTCAAGGGCCAACGTTCTCAAGGGCCAAGACCCTTTAAGGGGGACCCCACCGCGACAGCTTACCCCGCTCTTGCTAAATCACTAATAGAGCCGCTCATTCTAGCCCGCAATAACCTGAATCCATCGAAAATCTTGTCCAAGCCTTTCTGCAACATGCCATGACGGCACATGTCCATGCGCGAAAGACTTATTCATATAAATCTACTGTACAGTAGGACTCGACGTGTTGCAGGTCGCCTGAGAGCGGCATACCATTCAGCTCAGCACCATGCTGCTTCATGGCCGTGAACAGCCTCTGGACCAAGGAAGATTCTTTCCAAGAACCCCGAGCTTCCCAACAATCTAGCTGCAAAGCCTTCATCACTTCCTATGTGTTCGCGTGGTGTTTGGTTGTGCGTTGCTGCCGGAGGCCCAGACTCATCGCGCCATGGATCGAAAACGACCGCAATCGCATCACCTTGACCAATCCTACCAACCTACTGAAAACATGTGTGTGTGTAATGACATGCCATTATCGTGCCAGCAGGGATCCGGATTGTATGAGCAAAAATCCAGCACTAGCCGGAGGCAGGCATGCAAAAAGACACGTCACTGTTTTGGCTATGATGCCTGCGCACTGCAGACAGGGCCACCCCAGCACTGGCAAACGATTAGTACATGAATAATTCAATCAAGTTTGTCTACCGGTAAGCTCTCCGGTACTTCGGGCGAAGATAAAAAGGTGTCCAGGAAAGCATGAATGGTAGTCCGCCAGTGAGAGATTATGTCCAACCTTAGACACGCTTCTTGAACTCGACGTCGCCTGGCCTTCGAGTGAGGATGCGAACAGGACGAGGATCGCCTCCTGTGTTTCAAGCGTCCGATTCTCACAGAACACACACTCTCAAGCAAACCCTGCGATGATCGGTTTGCATGTTGCCTGAGCCTCATTCCTACAGCAAACACGACGGTCTGGTGCGACGTGCTGAAAACTCGATCCTCTGGCAGATAGTCGCTGTTTCCCGTCACCTGGCTCAAAAGTTTCCACGCTAAGCCAACATGCTCGAAACTGGCGAGCCACAGAAAAAGGAGGCTTGGCACGGACACGGATGACACCTGTCTGCAATAGCAAACGCATGCAAACGCATGCAAACGCCAATAACAGGCGAAGCGAAGACTGCAAAATCCCGCAAGCGCGGCTGCACCGCCCATGTCCACGATGAGTGGGAAGGTTGTCCACGCCCTTCAGGAATCTCCAAGGAATTTATTCAAGGGCTGGCGTGCTAGTGCCTTGTGCGTTTCGCCTGGAAGCGCCGACCTTGCAAGTGCTCTGCTGAGAGTTTCACTCGGGAGAAGTTGCGGAGCTGCAATGCGTTTCTTTCTAGTGGCCCCTGAGGTTTCCATGTTGAAACCACGAAACCCCATGAGCCTTTGGCGGGGAACGACGCCACGACGTGATGCTTCTATATGACTGTTATGCCAATGTGCACGCACCTGCGCTTTTGTCGCGTAGACATGAAGAAATGAAGGCTCAAAGGCTCCTGGCACAAAGCCTCTCCCAGGAGGCCCAACATGAAAACAAAATGCGAGAGCAAGAGGACAAGCTTTAGTGTCTTGGCGCTGACTATGGCCCATTCGTGATCTAGCTATCTAGTGGCGAAACATTAACATGGTGCCTCCTTGTGCTGCGCCAAGGTAAAACAGAACGGGAACCGAGTGCGAGACAGATTCGTGGTTGGGAAACATCTCTCGAAGGCCTTGCAAGTGCAGGGATTTAGTGACTTAGTGCTAGGCGGCTTTTTGTCACTCTATGTCAAATTCACGACCAGGCGGGACCTCCGTGTTCAATATGGCAGCTTGCTTCCAACACACGTTGATTGATGCACGCTTGAATGCAATTATGTAGTCCAGCTGGTTACGAGGGCGGGCGAGGCTGAGGCGCATGTACGATGGCCCGAAACATCCCTTGGATCCTTGCCCTCCAGTATTGCAATTGCACCCTGGGCTAATAAGGCCGTGCTAGGGTGCTCTTAGATGCAGGAAGTTCGTCTGAGTGCGGGATAGGTTTCGTGATTCTGTGTACATGCTCCATCTCGCCTTGTCCGCAAGTGGAAAATGGTCGAGACGTTTTCCAAGAAAACAGTTGGCGAAGAAAGGGAAACCTAAGACTGACCATCAGTATCGTCTGCGACACGCGTGCGTTTGTTGCATGAACGGCCGTCGCCGGCCCCAACAAGTTGACACCCCCAAGAGAGATCCGTCTTGCATTGCTTGGTCTCTGTGATGAATGTGACACGGCAGGCAAGGCCGCACAAGCTCCATAAGTGAGATCAAGCTCATCTGCTGTGTGAAGGCGATGCCTGTTTCGAGGACCTTCTTCCAGTTCAACCCGGGCTCCTGACAACGCGATTTCTAAGAGCGAATTCTCCGACAGATCCCGCACGTGACTCTGCGAAGAAGGCGACTCTTGTTCAGGCGCGTCTGCGCTTGACAATCACAGCTAACACCTTCAGCATGGCTGTGAAAGGACCCCCTCTCGGGCTTGGCCTTTCGGGGTCCGCCTGAGCTGGACCAAGTCTCTCCATTCAGACTGCAGGCATTGTGCGCTTCATCAAGTCCCTAGGCTGTCTGCCTTCAACACTTGGAACAACTTCGGACTTGCCCAGCAGGAATTTCCCAGATGCCGAAGACGGCATCCTGAACGTGGTCTAGCGGACCACAGTCCAACGCAGGAGCCTACCTGTGCCATGCGCGGTGCTGTCTTTCGTCCTTGCGCACTAGGCTGCCTCGACAAAGCTTTTACCATTTCGACGAACTTGTTGTGATGACACTCCCGGATAATCTACATAGTGTTACGGCTAAAAAATCGTCCTAGGCGGCCTTAAACATGCGCACAACAGCACGGCAGCTTTTGGCTGAGCGGGCACTCTGAGAGGCTCCCAGATCACATCCGTGGGCATGCCTACACCTCTCTGGCTTCAGTTTCCAGACGAGGTTTCACACCGAACTCAGAGGCTCTGATCCATCACACTGCTGTGTTGGATACCTTCTCACTGGAAATCACGAAGAAACTTGCAGGGACTTATCGTCTGACTAAGCGGATCGAAACCTGCCTTGACACTACTGTGTGAGATAACATGCAGGCAGCAAGCCACGGGAGCACAGGCGTGCACGCCAGCAGACGAATGTATTAATCAAGCTGTGTTTGTGGCCAAGTACCTTCAGAGTGCACGCCTGGATGCATTTGCCATTCCAGCACAAGGCTTTCCAAGTAAAGTTGCTCGACACGTCCTCACTTCGGGTGTCAACTGGTTGCGACACCTCGCTTCAAAACAGCAGCACCACACTGAGACCGAGTAGTCGTTAACTGAAACTTTCACCTAAGTCCGGCGAAAAACCCTGGAGAGCTGACAGACACTGATGTTGAGAGTTGGTCTGAATGTCGACGATCACCGGACGAGCATCTTTAGCCCCGACGCAGCCCAGTGGCTGGATGTCCCCACGCTCAAGGCCACACGGGGAGGACCCGACAAGAGATTTACGCACTGTTTGAGATCGGAACTTTGCAGTCCCGAGCCTTTGCCCAAGAACGCAACAGTTGCAGTGTCGTGACGTGTCGTGTCACTGCCGTGTAAGCTGGCGGGGGATCGGAAAATCCAGCCACGCAATGTGCCCTGACCACTGGACTCAACCCCGGCAAGACTTGCACACCTAGACCATGTGTCCTGTTCCTCCTGATGCGACCAAAGCCGAGGAAGACCATCAAGCCGACAGTCACTGAAAATTCAAGACAAATCAGCAGAAGTCTGTCTTGCTGCTGTCCGCACCGCTTCACAGCCCCCGGGCATGGGTAGGACCATGGCGAGAGATGCAAATATCGGAAGTGCTGCTGGAGACTTGGAGCACAAACACGTTTGCAAGCTACATCGCCCAGCTTGGCATGGGCGCTGAGCAACGGCAGTCTCAGCTATTCCAGCACTCAGCTCAATTTAGTTGTGCAGCAGGCCTAGTGATCGTCCGTGGGCTATCGCGAGTACAGGACTAAGGCTCACACTCCGCTCTGCCATCTACTCGAACATTCTGAAGGATCCGGGATCGAAACCAACAGAGGTCGTGTGCCAGGCACAGATCAGCAAAGGCACCACGAAGAGCCTGGACATTCCGGTCGTGAGCTGCTCATTGCCTGCTGAATGTACACCTCTGGACTAGACTCGGGTGAGGTTAGCAGCCTGCGTTCCTGAAAGAGCACTCTGAGGAAATGCACCCGGGATCCGATAATTCTAAACGGTCCTGCACTTCTGCATGGACACCATCCAGAGATATCAACATCAGACATCCTCCGCTGTGTGAGGAGGACATGTGGAACAACGACCGTTTCCGCCTGTGTTCCTGCATTTCTGAACTGCCACACGTCAAACAGGCAGAATGCAGTTTTTTTCTCGTGTTGTGATTTAGGCCGGAAACGCCCGTGACATGTATGCTAAAAGCATCGAGCATGTGAGAATCGTGCATCAGCTGCCGGCTCCCATGCTCGCGTGGCCAACGCACCGCAACGCTGCCTTCATCGAAGTACCTAAGAGACCAGTGACTCGACCAAACGCACTTCACTTTGCTTTGACGCGTTTTGACCGTCTGGGCCTTGGTCACTGCGTAGCGTGTTCGTCTAAGATCCTGCGCAGAGCACTGGCCAGGAATTCGGTTTATGATCACCTTCAAGACTGAAGTAGTGGGCAGTGAAGCTTTCAAAAGAGGAGTGCCATACGGGATGCACGGCTGGTGTGTCCTTCGGTCGTTGATGTCAACTGCCTCAGCTGTGGACGCGCGAAGCACTGCACACAAGGGCTTCCTCGATACACCACAGAATGAGAGGGTGCGGATTCCATATCTTCCTGGCTCCATACCAAGGTAAGTTGTTTCATGCAAGGGATGGCGAACAAACTACACCATACACCTCGAGATCGCTATGGTGAGAGAGCAGTGGCATCATACTTACAGAATCCATGCCATGGCATGTGTTTTGCCCACATTTCCCCTCTGTATTGATTGAAGGAATTCTGCCATGCAGAACGGGGCTGGGATGTCGAACAGAGAACGCCTGCTCCGAGCAGAGCGGACTTAATTATATTTCATTCAAACCTGCCTTCTCAATCCGGGAGGCCAGGGGCATCTTGGTCAGGTTGCATGGAACCATGTAATTTTGGTATTACCATGCCTGTTTGCACTTTCCTACCCTTTCCCAAGGCACAGATCGACGTCTTGTTTTCGACCTGTCTTGGTAGCAGGACCTGTCATTTTGCAGTTTTGTCGGGGGTTTTCGGGAGTCCCCCCAGGAGTTGGGCTTGGGCCACAGGCGCGCTCTCGTTTTGCTGATCCCCGGCCCTTCTCCCCCCTACTCTCCCTCCCTGACCCTTCCGGTCCGGGAAGGGATAGCGGATCTCGGAGCCGGCTGCGAGGCGGCCCCGGGCTAGCGGATAAATGAACTTGCCAGTTTAAGGAGTCGTTCGGCCGGGTTTAGCTGATATTCAAAATCAAGAAAAAGTTCTCAAGGATTTGGTAGCTATCCACAACGTGCAGAAAACTCAGCGGAGGGGCTCACAATCTGTTTTCCACGGAAGGGTCGTCAAGACGTAGTGCTGCACAGCCGTGTCGGCGAAAAGCTTCAGGTGGCCTATGGCTTATCGAAATCCTTCAAGGATATCTAAGACTACGCAGCCGTAAAAGCAGCAAAAGGTGCACCTGAGCCAGACACCGGCAGCATCCGGAGCGTCACGTCTGCTCTCATGGCACACATGACACATCAGCGTGTGGAGGCTAACCTCGAAATGGACATATCTTTGACATGCCCCAAAAATGCTTAGCTGAAGCAAGCTGATCGTGTCGATTGCCACTCACTCAGCGGGTGCACCAAGAAGCGCTCTTCGCTTCTTCGCAGACAAAAGAGCTCCGTCAAGCCGTAGTCTCCAGGTCCCTTGACTTAAGAACTTCTTCAACACATCCTGCTTCTGGATCTTCGTCAAGCCATCGGCGAGCTGGTGGTCCGAATCCACCCATTGAAGCACCGTCCCTTGTTGCTCCACATGTTGTGAAAGGGCTTGCATCTCGAGCGCGGTGTACTTGTCCTTCATGCTGTAGCCGGAGGAGGCAATAGAGCCTTTCTCGAGAGCATCAAAGAGTGCTCGGGCATCGGTGATCAGGACCGCCGGGACTTTCGCCACCGTGGGCGCTGTGTTCTCCAGGCTCACCTCGTGCCCTAGAAGCTCTGACCAAGTCAGACGGGTGAACATCACCTCCTGCTCCAGATCCGCCAGGGCTTGCGTCTCCGCTGCGAGGGAAGATCTTGCGACTCGTTGCAGACGTCCACTCTTCCAGCCCACAACGTTCACACGTCCGCTTCCTCGCTCCACATCTTCCGGGCGCATCAGTCCATAGATATGCCCGCCTGTCGACGACCCGTCAGGGCGGTTCGCGACCGCAGCATCGGACCAGCCGACAACCACGAGGGACTCCGCTGGGGCATTCAACTGGTTGACATTCACGCTGAGGTGGCGCCCTGCATGAATTTCCCGGACCAACTTATTGGTCATATCGATGTTGGAGACGTCCTTGGTGGCAAGGTGGGACTGCAAGTAGCTCAGCTTGGCCGCATGATGCGGCGCGGTTTGAGTGACGCGCCATTGGATTGCTCCATGCACTGCTCGAAGTTGCGAAAGCTCATCTTCTCGAAGCGGGCCATCTTCATTCTTGGGCCGCGCGGTCACCTGTGAAATGTTTGCACAGTACTCTTCATGGTTGAGGAGGATGGAGTCGTCGTAAAGCTGTTGAAGACCAACGCCGCAGTGGGTGAAGCTGTCAGATTCCCAAGGGGCCCATTGATAGGAACCATGCAGCTTATGCACAAACTCCACCCATTCCTTCTTGTCCTCATCACCAGCAAGCAGTATGTCGTCGACGTGAATTCCAAGCACGCCTATCACAGCCGAGCCATCTTCGGAGAAGACTCTCCAGAGGCACGGGTCTGTCTTACACACCCGGGCTCCCAACTTCCGAAGCGTGGTGCTCAAGTCAACGTACCACTCACGAGGGGCCGAAGTAAGGCCGTATGCTGAGTCCAACAGCTCAAGCATCTGATGTTGAGGAATCCGAAAAGCTTCTGCTAGCTCCGGTAGGGGCTTCGCAAACAAAGGGTGCACTCGATCTTGAGCCTTGGCCTGAAGGAAGGCTGTGCGTACATCTCCTGCCATAATCCGCCATCGTCTGGATGAGGCCAGGTTGAGCAGCAACATCTTGGAGGTCCTCGTCAGTGCTGGGCTGGAAGTATCTCTCTCCAACAACGAAGGATCCGAAAATCCAAGTACCACTATGCGGCCTTCGCCTTGATTTTTGTTGCGTCTTCCGGA